ACACACACACACACACACTCACAAATATATAGAGTCATGGTAGTGTAGTAGTTACAAATCGGGCTACTAACCTCAAGGTTGGCAGTTCGAAACTACCAGCTGTTCCATGGGAGAAAGGTGAGGCTTTCTGCTCCCGTAAAGATTTGCAGCCTCGGAAACCCTGTGCAGGGTCACTGTGAGTTGGAACCGACTCCACAGTACTCAACAACAACACACACACCCATCTATATATCTATATATCTTTATCTATGTCTATGTTCAAGCTCACCAGCCACTGATTGGAAACCATATACAGGGTCACTATGAACTCGACTCGATGGTACTTAACAACAGTGTATAGAAGAAGAGAATGTCCAGTATATGATTATTTACAAGTCTGTTTTTGTTTGTCTTTTGTTTTTCCCTCTAATTCAAATTGTTATTTGATTATGAGAAGCCAACATTAAATGAGCCTATTTCTTTTAAGAAAGCAGAGACTGCAAGTGCAGAGAAATAGCACTGACAGTGATTATGGACTATATGATACCGGCATCAGGTTCATGATACATATTAACATTGGGAACTTAACACAATCAGTAAGTTTCCTTTTATTTAATCCAGAGTGATCAAATTTCTGATTTTTCCATTTTTGTATTATTTATCTGAAAGTTGATTCATAATTTACCAGCTTAAGTTATAGAAGCTAATAATATGGTAGCTATGTGTGGCGCTGTGGGCTAATGTGTCAGACTGCAATGTCATTTGAACTGCATGGTTGGTGGTTCAAGCTCACCAGCTGTTCCTAGGAAACTCTATACAGGGTCGCTATGGGTCAGAATCAACTCATCAGCACTTAACAACAATAACATTTACATAAAAACTGGTTGTTTCCTTAGAAACTCACAGAGATTCCATGTGTCTCAGAGTCAAACAATGCTACAAAGGGTTTTCCTATATTAATAAATTAATAAAACAAGCTACCATTCATTGAGTTTTAGTCCTGGTGTAGGATAAGCACTGGACTGATAACTAAAAGGTAAGTAATCCAAACACACTAACCACTCCTCAAAAGCCCTGTACAGGGTTGTTTTGAGTCAGAACCAACTTGAAAACACTTAACATAGCAAACCATTCAGCTGATTCTGATTCCCGATGACCTCACGTGTTTCAATAACTTTTAGGCATACACCATTACTCCCTTCTTCCATAGCATCTCTGAGTTTATATTTGAACCACCCACATTTCATTTAGCAGTCAACTGTTTACCCACTCGTGCCATCTAGAGACTCCTTCTCTTATTTTAAGAGGTTACAAATATAAACTAAATGTTACAGACTGTGTTTGTTGTTCAGTGCCCTGTATACGGTTCCTGAGACTATAAATGTTTGGAGAGCAGAAACTCTTTCTCCCATGGAATGGCGAGTGGGATCAAACCATCACTGAACTTGGGGTTCACAGTATTTGATTATGAGTGCTTATCCTATGGAGCCAACGCACACCCAAAACATTAAAGACAGGCACGCACATACAAGTACAGACCTTTGTCTTATATTTTCTTAACAAAATAACTGCCCAGAAGTCATGCTTAACATTTTGGCATTATCAATGTAATTATATAGTTTGATCAACCAACCTTTATTGTTTTCCTTTTCATAAGGATATTCATTCATCCATTTGTTTCTAGAGTCACATTGATCCTACAAAAAAAAAAAACAAATCATGAGAAAACGTTCCCCAAGTTACTAATACTCTTCCTCTGGATAAAGGAACAGATTTTAACTATTATTTATATAGTTCTTTATGCTTCTCATTAGTACAGTGACATACTAAAAATAGTAACTGAATTTTTTCCCCTTTGTTTTTTGCTTTCTCTTATAGAGTCATGTAAAAGGCAGCAACACCATCTATGAAATAGCTATGACATCCAACCAAGGATAAGATACTGAAGATGGGACAAAGAGGAAGAAAATGGGGAGAGGAGAAAGCAGGAGGAGGCGGGAAATTGGGAGGAGAGGTTGTATGTTGACCAACACTCAAGTAACTTCATAAAATTAAAAAGTATCCAAATTATCAGGACTGACTGTGAGGGTTGGAAATGTAAAGGTAGACCTTTTATAGCAAAAGAAGGGGAGTGGTTGACTTTGCAGTGCAGGTATGGCAGTCCCTGGAACCATGAAGGGAGAAGAACGGAGTGCAGGACCCTACCCAGAGAAACAGTGATGCCAGAGATGGAGGCAGAGACAATGATGTGGCGAGATATAGAGGCTAGGGACTCTAGACCCAGAGAGGGAGAGGGGCTGTGTGCTGACAACTGAGGGGCAGGCTTGCAGGGTATACCC